CATTGTTTTTAATAGCTGAGTAATACTCCATTGTGTAAATATACCACATTTTTTGAATCCATTCCTCAGTTGAAGGACATCTGGTTCTGTGACAGTTTTAAATTTAAGTTGTCTGTAATTGTTTGGCTAAATATCTGTCCTATATTTTCCTCCTTTATCATCCCTTTTGTTATATTTTAATAGATAAGATATTTGATTTTGATTAAAAATATAGGCTAATAAAACAGAATAGAAAGCCTACAAATTAGATTCAGATATATTTGGAAACTTGATATGTAGCCATAAGTACTTTTAAAAATAGAGATGATGGGTCACACACTGCACATACACCAGTTTCAGATGGGCTAGAGAGCTAAATATAGAAAAGAAACTCTTCAGATGTTTGGAAGGATACAGCAGGAGTCTGTTTAGGCTACAGAATGTTCTTCATGCTTGAAGGGGAAGCATTCTTTATTTTCCAAAGGAGTAAGACGTCATAGATAAGGGGAAAAAAGTTTTTTCATTCTTTTTAGGTTTTTGTCTTAGGATTTATATTGCTGTGAAGAGACACCATGATTATGGCAGCTATTATAAAGGAAAGCATTTAATTGGGGCTGGCTTACAGTTCAGAGGTTTAGTCTATTGTCATACTTCGAGCAAATACGATAAAAGAAGCAGAGGAATTGTGCTCCAGGTTCACAAGGGTAGGGAATAACATGCAAGTATCTCATTGTCTGAAGTAGGAACCTTGAAGTTCCCAACAACCGTGTTGGTGACTCACAACTCCTTGGATGCCTCTGGCCTTCTCAGGCACCCATACACCCAGGATTAAAAATAAAATAAAAAAATAAAATAAAATAAATAAAATAATAAAATATAAAATAATAAAATAAAAAATAAAATAAAAAAATAAAAAAAAGAAAAAAAAATCCTAAGAATTCACTGAAACAAATTATTACAATACATACTATTAAGACAATACATACATACATTAAGACAATACATACTAAATGAGACATTGATACCTAGTAAGAAAACCTTTTTTACAAGTTAAAGATCTGAGTTTTTAGTTAAGACTTTGAGATGAATAATCTGCATCTCAACGATAGACATTACATAGCAAGAAGAGGGCTCAGTGTTGGATGACAATAAGGTACTTCTGTGTCCTGTGGTGCTGAGGTATCATTGGTATTGCCCTCGCCTCTGTACACACCTACATGCTAGAAATGTTAACTAGATTCTATTTGTATTGATACTTAGGAAAACTCTTACAATTTAGAAGCTACAGAATAGCATTGCTTATTGTCAAATAATACTTCTAGAAATATAAATGTAAAGAAGAAAATAAAGTTAAAAGACACTGTAAGGAAGGACAGAGGAAAGGAGTAATTCACAGAAGTGGAAAATGGGGTAGCTAAAACGTGTCTTCTCTAGTAATCAGCAAAGTACAATTAAAGCACTATCATTTTGTACTCAAAAATAGACTGAAATTTAAGTCTAACATGATTAATTATTGGCAGATGGTTTGATGATTTTTATACATACACACACTAATGTGTTCTCTCACTTTTTCACTCTCAACTTTTATTAAAGAAAACTCATTTGCTATAAAAATAACCTTTTTCTTTTCTTTTTTAGATGAATTGACCTGATAAACAATATTTGCAATAGTGCTAGTAATTTACTTATTTATAAAGGGAAATAGAAAAATAGCTTTAATGCTTCTGAGTACTAAGCTAAGTATTTTATATTCATGATTTCATCTTATTAACAGTTTTGTTAATATATTCATCAGATATATGATACAATTAAAATGTTTAGAAGTCAAACACTGCCCTGGCCAAAATACCTTGCTAGTTGTTATTTGGAGCCAGTACTCTGCATTGGAAGTCTTTGATTCTAAGCCCATATTTTTTTGTGATAAATTGTAGTCAACATTATGTAACCATAGCTGAAACTACAGTAAGTAGTGTTTCTGAAGCTGAGATGTCATAGACTCAATAGCATATACAAAATGGTACAAGCAGTACCGGCAAAGGGTTAGTGATGGATATTAGGAGAAAAATAAGTCAGAAAAATAGTAATATTGCTTATGTTCACATAGCACATATTCAGGTGTCTTCTGTTTTACAGAAAAGTAACTGAAGCTTAGAGAGGATACTCAGGCAATCCTTGGTAACACTGAGTAGTACTGTGGTTCAGTGTCCTTTCTATTACATCATCACAGATGTCAAGATTAGAAGAGACTAAAACAAGCATAAAAATCATTAGGCTTTTAGAGAAAAACACTATCTGGAAGGAGAGTGTAGGGATTAAAAGATGCAGATGCACATAGCCAAACATCAGACTGGACCCCAATGGAGAAGTTAGAGAAAGGGCTGAAGGAGCTGAAGAGGTTTGCAACCCCATAAGAAGAACAACAATATCAACAAACCCCCAAAGCTCCCAGAGACTAAGCCCCCTACCAAAGAGTACACATTGGGGGGGACGACCCATGGCTCCAGCTGGATATGCAGCAGAGGATGTCCTTATCTGGCATCAGTAGAAGAGGAGCCCCTTGGTCCTATGGAGCCTCAGTGACTCAGTAGGGGAATGCCAGAGCAGGGAGGTGGGAGTGAGTAAGGGTGTGGGGGAGGGACTACCCTCATAGAGGCTGGGGGAGGGGCCAAGGGATAGTGGGTTTGTAGAGGGGAAACCGGGAAGAGGGGGTAAGATTTGAAATTTAAGTAAGTAAAATAACCAATAAAAATTAATTTATAAAATTTAAGTTAAATTTCAGTCCAGCAATTTAAGCCGACAACTAGCATGTATCTTCAGGGCACAGGAGAGTGAGAGACAGGTTAGCCTGCAAATGAGTGAGAGAGATGTTTACATCTACAGATTATTTACAGCTTAGAATTATAGAGAATTACAAATGCTTGTTTAGTAGTTCTGTATGGCTGGGCAGTGGTGACGCACACCTTTAATCCCAGCACTTGGTAGACAGAGGCAGGCGGATTTCTAAGTTTGAGGACAGAGTGAGTTCTAGGACAGCCAGGGCTATACAGAGAAACCCTGTCTCAAAAAACAAAAACAACAAAAAAAAAACAAAAGTAATTATGGTAAACTTTTTACGATAAATGTTTTGTGAGGATACATTCATTAGAAAATGGAAAATATAATATACATAGCTATAAAGGAGAAATAAGATATATCTTAGGACTTTTAAAATCTGGAGATAGTATATTTTTAGACTTTTTTTTTTTTTTTTTTTTTGAGACAGGCTCTTGCTGTATAAGCTCATGGTAGCCTTACACTGCCTTCACCTCCTAAGCATAGGGAAGTTTTAAACTTTTAATGAATTCCAAGAATTGAGTTGATAATAGGAAGTGGGCTAAAAGAGGACCAAAGACTGAAAATGTTTTTATAAATTCACTTTGGTTATCTTTCTTGAAATCACACAAGTATGTTTAAAGTAAATATATTCTAACCGATGACAAAAATATGATGCCCTATATTGAAGCTAAGAACGTGTGTGTGTGTGTGTGTGTGTGCATGTGTGTGTGTTATAAAGTTCTAAATACCTTTAAGCCTGAACTAACAAATATTTGTAACAAATCCAGGGATGGATGTCTGTCTGTCTGTCTGTCTGTCTGTCTGTCTCATTATTGTGCCTCAGGCTGATTTTGAACTCAAAATCTTCCTGCCTCAGTCTCCTAGGTGCTGGGCTGATACGCATGCACTACCATGCCCAGGATTGCTTGGTTTTAATAGCATGTGGCAGAGGAGAGCTAGAGAAGTAAAAGATTTGTTATGAAACCCCAGGGGCATGAACAAAGAAATAGCTTAGCCCACAGGAGGGAGGGTGGGAAACTGAAAAGGTACTGAGAAGTGTAACAGTAGCTGGGCGGTGGTGGTGCACGCCTTTAATCCCAGCACTTGGGAGGCAGAGGCAGGCAGATTTCTGAGTTCGAGGCTAGCCTGGTCTACAGAGTGAGTTCCAGGACAGCCAGGGCTACACAGAGAAACCCTGTCTCGAAAAACTAAAAAAAAGTGTAACAGTATTAGATCTTTGCAGTGGTGACCTTGAATCAGCAAGAAAATGTTAAATAGCAGAATAAACAAGGGTGAAAAGAAGATGTTATTGTTTTAAATAGTTAAAAATAACAGCTTTAATGCTTAAAAATAGTCTTAGTAATCCAGAGTCTGTTCTGTAAAATTAGTGAACACTCCAGGGGAGCTGATAAGTAAAAGCACTGAGAAGGGCTGCAGAGACGGCTCAGTGAGGAAGGTGCTTGCTGCCAGGACCTGCAAGTAGATCTTCTCTGACCTCCAAAAGTGCTGTGCCTTGTATGTATACACATATACAAACATACAAAATAAGTTAATAACTTGTTAAAAATACCACAAGCCTTAATGCCACTTACGCTCATTGCTAGTTATTGGCATCGCAATACTTGTGGTCATAGTTGGGAAAGAAAAGGTGACTTTTTCTTTTCAGGATTTGAACCCAAGGCTTTAAATTTAAATGTACTTTTTAAAAATGTGTTTTATTGCTTGCTACTTTACATTTATGCAAATTTCCATTTTAGGAAGGAACATCTGCCATGGAAAATCTAAGTGAAATGCAGTGTATGTGGTTTGAGACAGAGTGCATTTCTGCCTATCAGCGCCTGGGGAGATACGGGGATGCCTTGAAAAAATGCCATGAAGTAGAAAGGGTGAGTTGTTAGGGTGTGGATTCTAGTTTCATCTGTAAGTGACAAGAAAAACAGGTACAAGTCTGCACTGGATCACCTGCCTCTTCTGACTGACTTTGACAGCTTCATTTGAAAACAATTCTTTAGTATTGTGAGCAATGTGGAGTAAATGATTACTTTTTTGATACTTTTGACATGTTTATGTATTCTTTTTCTGAAGAGAAAAAGAAAACAATTAATTTAGTAAAAGCAGTTTGTACTATCATTACATATATTCACAGTTTTTCTTTCCTGATCCGGCCATTAATTTTTCATCAGCAGCCTAAGAGGGACGCAGAGCTGGTGGTAACCTCTTTCCCCCCTAAGCGTCAGGATCTGGTCCACAGTCAGCCTCTCTCCAGTTCGTCTTCCCAGGATGCTTGTTTTCACCTTTGGTACCCTGTACATCAAAGGGCCAGTTCTCAGGCTTATTTTATTGCTTGTTTTTAGAATTGTTTGTGTGATATGCCTTTAGTGAGGGCACTTTTCTTTTCCCTTGTGTGAATTTTTGTTCTCCTGTTCTTTGTCATCTCTGAAGCACTCTTCTTCTACATGGACCACAGGAGGAAAGGAGCCGCAAATGCACCCCTGAGGCAGTCCTCAGCAGCCCTCAGTTGTGGGGCACTCGGCACCACTCTTCCTCTGCTGACGCAGTATAAAACCACAGGCGTCGTAGTCAGGTGAGCCTGATGTCTGCACCGCGGCAGTCACTTTGGCCTTCTTCCCACATGAAACTCCTGAGGTTACCCAGAAGAAGGCTCTGTCTTAGGGGGTGGCTTTCGATGGGAATTGGAACTAGGATTATACCAGAACCTTTATAGAAATCACCAAAGTTCGCTTTGTTTTTTGTTTCTCTTGTCCTTTAAACTTATGTTTCTAGGGGAAAGACTTCTCATTTTCTCTTTGAGAATTACAAGCCTCGTGGATTGTATGTTAAATATCCAAACATAGTTTAAATCAGGTACCTATTTCTGTGCTGAAATTGTAGGACAACATTAGGACTGGTGGTACAGGCCAGAACTCAGGAGGATCATAAGTTCGAAACTAGCATGAGTTGCAAATGGTATTTAAGGTCAACCTAGGTGATATAGTGAGACCCAGTCACAAAAAAAAAAGGAAAGAAGATGGGTTGGTGTATAAATGTGGTTGTTGTACAAGCCGAGTGACTTGAATTCAGGTCCCTGGTGTCCCTAACACCTGAACATGGTGGTGTGTGTCTGTAACCCCAGGACTCCTGTGCTGAGTTGAGAAGTGGAGATGAAGTGGAGACAGGAAAATCCTGTGGAACTTGTGGGCCGGCTAGTCTGGAGTGCACAGACAGCAAGAGAGGCCCTTATAAAGCAAGATGTAGGGGCTGGAGATATGTCTGCTTCAGCAAGAGCACTTGCTCTTTCAGAGGACCGGTGTTTGAGTTCCAGCGCCCAACATGGTGGTTTATAACTATTCCTCACTCTGATTCCAGGGTATCTGGTGCTATCCTCTGACCTTCATGAGCACCACACATGCACATGGTGCACAGGCATACATGCAGGCAAAACACACATACACATAAAATAAATACATGGGAAAGAAACAGCAAAACAAAAGGAAGTGGAATGTGAGAACCCAGTTTACTCTCTCATTTCCACTTATACGTACTGTCATATACAAATGTGTACACAAACCATAACAAAAAAGAACAAAAGCTAGCAGCAAAAAATACTGAATATCAGTACTTTGTGTCAGTGCTCCCTAGTGTCTACTAGTTAAAAAAGCTTCCTGCTTGTTAAAGACATTTCATGTACCCCATCGTTGGTGAGATGTAACTCTTTACTAAGCATTTACAGAGTAGTACTTTGAGCAGGGATGCAACTAGAAACTTACTCATTTTTCTGTAGAAGTTTAATCTAAATGTTTGTAGGATTGTTAGAGTTGGAACCTGCCCCAGTCTGTAGGGCAGTGAACTGGGACCAGGGCACCTGAAAGAGAGAACTGGGGGAGCAAGGGTACGTGAAGAAGGACAGCAAGTCAAGAAGTCTGATCAAGCTGTTGAATTTTTATTACATACAAGCAGGATATGGGAAGGGGATGATGTAGGGTCCCTTTGTTTCTGGGGAGTACAGGTGTTCTCAGGGGGAGTACAGATCTTCTCAAAAACAGGATATTGGCTGACTAGGCCATTAATGTTTAAGCAAGGTGGCTCCCAACAGGAACCTTTGTGACTTAAGTTCCATTCTTCTTAATTCTTGTCTTGCTTTATGATTTTTCAGTATTTCATAGATTGCCAGATTATGTTAAATATATCTTCTGTTACTGTGTATCATTAAGTTTATAGTGACTTTGGCTGAGTAACATGAATGAAATTCTTAAATTCTTATATGACTTCTAGTTCAAAAAGTAATTTAACTGGAAGAAAGTATATTTGAAGGAAAGGGTTACATTAATTACCAGAGATTAAAATTTAGAAATCGCCGGGCAGTGGTGGCGCACGCCTTTAATCCCAGCACTTGGGAGGCAGAGGCAGGCGGATTTCTGAGTTCGAGGCCAGCCTGGTCTACAGAGTGAGTTCCAGGACAGCCAGGGCTATACAGAGAAACCCTGTCTCGAAAAACCAAACAAAAAATTTAGAAATCATGTGGCATAATTATTTTTATTTTAAAAAAACTATCTTTATTCAGAGTTTGCTATTGACATTTCACTCTATGAAGAATCTGAAATATAAGTGCCACTTCTCATGTCACTTGCAATGATTATATTAATACTAAAAATAAAGTTTAACTCATAAATAATATGTATATTTTACATATATGTAGAAATGTGTTTAGTTTAAGTAAGTACATTAAATATTTAAATGGCTGATTTCTAATAAAAGTAATACATTGAAAGAATATTAATGTCATTGGAAAGATTTAAGAGTATAAATTTCAGGCTTGGGTGCTGGGGAGATGGATTAGTGGTTAAAGTACCTGTTGTGTATGCATGAGGTCTGAATTCAGATATCCAGCACTGATACAAAACCAAACAAATAGCAAAAACCAGGCACTGAGGCACACATCTGAAGGCATGAGACAGACAACCCCCTGGGGCTTCCTAACTAGATAGTCTAGCTGAAAATAGTAAGTTCCAGAGTCAGTGAGTGACCTTGTCTCAACAGCTAAAGGGGGGGTGGAGGGTGGGGGAGGGCAGTTGAAGATATCCTGCCTTCAACATCTCTGCAGGAACCCACAGAGAAAATTGTACACTTACACACACACACACACACACACACACACACACACACACACACACACAGCACTTGCCTTGCTAGCATGATGTCAAGAATTTGGAATCCTCTGAATCCATGGAAAAAGTATGGTAGAATGATGTGTTTCTGTAATCCCTGTAGTGATAGACTGAGTTGCAGAGACAGGTGGATCCATGGAACTTACTGGGTCTGCTAGCCTGATCAACATGGCACATTTCTGGCCAGTGAGAAACCCTGTGTCAATCAAAAGCACCTCAGAACAGACATCTGAGGTGGTTGTTCTCTGACCTCCATGCATACATCATGTTCTCCTGCATCTTCAAGAATGCCCAGTGCCCACGTGTGCACATGCAAAAGTATAAAATTCAAAGATGACTTTTGTTTTTCCTGGAGACAGGGTCTCACTATGCATGTATTCCTGACTTTCATGTAGACCATATGTAGACCATGTTGGCCTCAAACTCAGAAATCCCACTGCCTCTTGAGTGCTGAGGTTAAAGGCATACACCACCACACCCATCTTTCGAACATGATTTATAACTATTTCATAAGTGAATTTGTACCTGCTTCTTATATTTTAATAAAGAAATAAATACAGTTCACAAATATAATTTTGCATTTTATCTTTTAAATAAAAGTAAAGTAAGAATAAGGAACAGGTCTTTCTGCTTTGCCAATTTTAATCAAGACCTCTCTCATTAAAAGCAGTTCCAGCTTTCACATGCTGTGGTGGCTTCTTAGAAATTGGAGTTGAAATTTTAGCATTTTGGAAATGGTATATAGTACCTTTTCTGTCTTCATTTTGGCCTTCTCAGTGGATTTTAAGATTACCTGTAAAGGTCATATGGCCCAGTCCAATCTGATGTTTAAAGTTTTTAAAACAAAACAGCTGTCTTCAAAGTACTAACTATAGACTTGCATTTACAGCAACATTCTAAATTATTATTATTATTATTTTTTGAATACTGACTGGGATCTCTTTAGTGTACTGGCTTATATTTGGGTCAGGGCAATATATAGTGCATATAACATTATTTCTTACTGTTTATTCACTCTAGGATTTCTGGCAGAGTAAGACATGTTGCATCTTTTTAAGTTCTCACAGGCTTTATAATCACAGATTCTTTAGAGGAAAAGGGTTTTTTCCATCCACCCACCCATCCTCTCATGCAATACATCCGACTGCAGTTTCCCCTCCCTCCACTCTTCCCAGTCACGTCCCCTCCGCATTTCACAATTTTTAAGAATGGACATTTTGTTGTTTTCTTTGTTTAAGTTCTTAATTGTCTCAGCCAAGGATTCAGAGACATAATAGACCATGGAGTAGCTAGAAGGTAGCATAACACAATTCCTGAATAAAGTCGGATTCTAAATTTTGATGGAGCTTCTCCTAACTCCTTGTCAACTAATGTTAAGTTAAGCCAATTTTTTTTCTGTTTTGTTGAGAGAGGGTGTTGCTGTGTAGTCAGTGCTAGCTTCAAAGTTGTTCATAGTCAAGCCTAATTTTGACCATCTGCCAACAGTGGGTGCCAGGCAGGGGGAGAAAGGGGTTAAGATTATGTATTTAGTTGCTTATGTAGTATTCTGCAGTACCCCTGTTTATTCCAAAGCAAAATATCAACAAACCATAGCTGTATTATTCTACTTTTTCTGATTTTATCTAGCATTTAAATTTTTTTTTAAACAATCAAAAGCTATATGGAGTAAGTAAACACCTAGGTTTGCCAGTGGTAGAGTGGTTCCAAGACACAGTGTATTCAATGGAAAAACTGGGAAGACTTCTGGTAAACTGGGCTAAGTTGGTCACCCAGTTTATGGAAGACATCAACTGGAGAGAGGCAGCCTGTGGGCTGTTACTGATAAAGAGGTGGTTTAAGTATTTGTGTATTCCAGATTCCTTCTGAAGTGTGACTAAAAATCTGTGTCTACTGATACTTCTAGGAATATATTTTGAAGCATGTCATCAGTTCCTCATGTGTTTCTCAACTTAAATAATGTTGTGCAGTCCCTTAGATGTTTTCATCTTACTGTGTTTCATGACTTAGCATTGCTCTTTCCCTTAGCCAACTGTGTTGGATTTCAGTATGTTACTTTTATGTAAGCCTGGTTTACATTAAGGAAAAGCACTAACACCATTATGAAATAGTTAGCCTTTGATTTTTAAAAAATAAATTGATGTCATTACTTACTAATGTGTCTCTGAAAATTTAATTTTCAAATATATCATTAAAACATGATTTTCTAATAAGTGAACTAATATGAAATGTTTATTTTTTTCTTGTTGCTTGTCCTCTGTGTTATACTTTTATTCTTTTTAGAATTCTTTTCTTAAACTCTTAGATATTTAGTGTGATTCTATGTATATATAGCATGTTTCTAATTACCAAGATAGCTAAAAATATCAAGTGGTTAGGAATAATTGTTAGAATCTGTCCTCTACATAGTTACTAGACCGGCGGCCTGCCTCCGGTATCCCTCCTCCCTGAGGGACTGTCAGACACTTTATTTTTTATAGAGTCTAGAGAAACCAAAGTGGAGTGAAGAAGCAGAGGTACAAACATACGTAGGGAGAAAACGAAATTATAAAATTGCCTTGTGTACATAGTGGAGGTGAATTTCATGCAAGCAATTACTACTTAAGCTCTGAGGTTGGGGTGATAAGTCCTTTGGAAATTATATGAAAGTGTTGAGCTTACTTTTTGGGAAGAAGTTACTATTTTTGTTGTTACAAAGACTTAAGGTTTAAGAATTTATGGAATATGCATATGTTAATGGGAGCTTCTTCATGAGAAGAAGTTATAATGCTGCCTTTGTAATAGCACTTTACTAATGAGAGTAAGCTTTAAAATGTGTTGCTTGATCAGTCACCTTAAGAAACTGCTATATAGATTTTATCCCTACCTTAGATTAAATAATTAAGGCACTAAGGAATCAAAGACTTGTGCCTGATAAGCTTCTTCCTTCCAGTTGGCAGGTACTCTGCTGTGTGTTACACTCTTTAGGAAGGAGGCTTAAAGTCTTGCCCTCACAAGAGCTCAGGAAGGAGTAGATAAGTCAGATTTGTAAACATTTAGTGTGAATCTGTATGCAGTTAGTTTCGGAGTTGTGTTTTGTTCTGACTTGCTGGTTTTTACTGGAGTACAGAGGTAAACTACATCAACATAACCAATTTCCAGGGTTAAAAGATAACCTGAGCCTTCTCTTGTAAACATAGAGTATCATCACAAATTATCATGTCAGGAAATAGGGTGGATTCTGATTACAGAAGAGCCTGTTAAGTTGAGATCAGCTGTGTTCAGAGTTTTGCAGCTGTAAAGATGACACTGTAAGTTGAGTGCATCCAGGTGAAACTGTGCCCTTATTGTTCTGGAGGCTTTTTAATAGTTTTTTGGGTTTTTTTAAATATGGTTTTCTTTTAAAAGGTAAAAGTTATTGACATAAATGTAAGGGATAATCTTGTGGTTTTGTTTTTAAGCATTTTCTTGAGATAACTGATGATCAGTTTGACTTCCATACATACTGCATGAGAAAGATGACCCTCCGTGCTTATGTTGGCCTCTTGAGATTAGAAGATACTCTGAGAAGACACCCTTTTTATTTCAAGGCTGCTAGATCAGCAATTGAAATATATTTGAAATTACATGATAACCCTTTAACCAATGACAGCAAACAAGAAGACATAGATTCAGGTAATGAAAAGATTAAAAAGAGTACTAAACTTGAGAATATTATCAGATATTAACGTATTACTTAGAAAAGTGTATCAACATGTTTAAAGAGAAAAATATAATTTACTCTAATCAGTCATATACTATATACTAGATCAAATTGTCTTGTCTCACTCCAAATGTTTGTATAACTAAAATAACAATAAAAGACATGTTGTCAAATGGATATGAAGACTGTATTGGCTAATTGATAAATTAGGAAGAAGCAAGAGAAACTTCAAATAAAGTTCCTGTTTATTTGAGGAGGCTGATGTTCTCTAGCTGATACATTTCCACCAAGTGAATGAGAGGACTTGCATATATCCTCCTAATCCCAGTATTAATGCCCGGCTGCCCTCAAATTCTTGATGTTTCTGCCTCAGCCTCTGTATAGGTAACATCAAACACTGTCTTTTTTGGTTTTGTTTTCAGTAACACCAGTTAAGAAAGAATATAAATATCTGTGTGCTACTTTATTTTCATTAAATGGTAATTGAAGAAAAGGCTTTTGAGGGCTGGTGAAATGGCTCAGCAGATAAACTCCTGCCACATAAGCCTCATGATTTGAGTTTGATGCCTGGAACCCCTGTAAAGGAAAGAACCAATTCCATTCCTCTGACCGTCATACATGTAGGAGGCCATGCACCCCCCAATCTCAACCTCTTCTCTACCACTACTCCCACACACACACTAATAAATGTTTTTAATTAAAACATTTTTCTAATTATATATAATTAAATAAATTTATATGTAATTAAATAGTTATATAATTTTTAAAGCTTTGAGTACCTCAGGAAAAATGCATGTTCTTACAGCTTGTGGTATTTGCTTTACTGAAAGTAAGATTGCCTTTATTGCTTGTCAGTCACTGGAGAGCCAGTGTCCACAGAGGTCCAGTATATAGTAGATAGGAAATTCAGATTTCATTACATACATTCTCTCTTACCCTTGCAACACCCCATGAGCATAATTGGTACAAGTTTTACAACTTGAAACTGAGGAGGGTAAGGTGATTTGCCTGTTAACTGTTGTGTGGAGGACTATATTTGTTTCCTGTTGTCATTGACTATGGTGGCAAAGGCAGCTAATAGATAAAGGGCTTATTTTAACTCAAAATTCCAGGTTGGGATAATAGCAGGGAAGACAAAGGCAGCAGGAACTTAAAACAGCTGGTCATAGCCACAGTCAAGAACAGAGAATGTACACACAGTACTCAGCTCTTTCTCCTCTTTAATCAGTGTGGGATCCAAACCCAGGAAAGAGTGCCACTAACTTTCCACCTCACTTAACATAACTAAGACAGTCTCCCACAGATATGCCCATAAGCCAACCTAATCTAGACAGTCTCATGATTCTCGATTGTTTCAAGCTGACATGTAAAATTATCACAGAGACAGGGCTTAGTTGAAATTACTTTTAGTTATTAATGCAACCAACTTTTATTGACTGCCTTTTGTGTGCCATGTTTTGGATAGTCACAAACATACTTTCTAAAACCTTTTACATAGTTACCTCCCATTTCCTCCCCAAAGAAAGCTATATTAGTAGTGTATATTATAAAGCAGACAAAAAATGAAAACTGACCGTCACATGGTTTGCACATTTGAATATTTATAGAAAACCTGTCAGCCAAAGACCTGAAGAAAATGCTTAGCAAGCAAAGAAGAGCTCAGAAAAAGGCTAAGGTAGAAGAAGAGAGAAAGCACACAGAAAGGGAACGTCAACAGAAAAATCAAAAGAAAAAAAGAGAAGAAGAAGAAGAAGACACCAGTGGTCCTAAGGAAGAATTTATTCCTGAAAAACTAGAAAGGGTAGGTTGAATCTACAATTATTGTTTTATGGTAAAATTTATGCTATTTGATTCTGTTCTGGCCATAGTGTATCTCAATGCTTAAATTAAAATTAAATTTAATTTAATTTAAGTCATAAGAGCCACTGTGGTAATATGCAATGTCCAAAATACGCAAAAGTTTGGCTAATGTTAATTATATATAGAAATATTATAGGCCAGAGTAGGGGGTCCTCTCAAGGTATGTTCTAATTCCTAGTAAGTGTGTACATGGCAAAGGGAAATTAGGGCATTAAGTGGAGTTAAAATTCTAATAAATGATCTTAAGATGAAAACGTTGAGGCAGGTTCTTTGTTTGTATATGTTGTGGCTTCCTGACTGCGTGAATGAGTGGGCCACTGTCTGCTTTTTGTGCTCTTTTCCTTCTGTTTGTGTTGTCCAATTCAAATATGTTATTTCTGTTTTATCTTACTATATTTTATTTTATTATTATCCCTTAGAAGCCTGTTGATTTTCTAATGAGAGACAGGAAGGGGTGGGTCTAGATAGAGTGGAGATAAAGAGGAACTGGGAGGAGAAAGGGTGGGGGTGTGTCTGTAATCAGGATATATTATGTGAGGGGGAAAGGCTTTTCAATAAAAAGGAGAGGGGACAGTTGAGATTGGTGTGAAATGTCCATATGGCCCAGCCTGGTCCGACAGGACCTGTCCTAAATGGAGAAAAGCAGACAAGGACAGGGCAGTGTGCTGTGAGAGTTACTTAAGTGTTGTTGCTGCCTTTTAAAGTAGAAAGAGAGGGCCATGGCCAAGGATGTGGGCCACCTTTAGGAGTAGAAAAAGGTGTGGAATTCTTCCCTAGAACCCATGAAAGGGAATGCAGTCCTGCTGACTATTTTAAGCCCAAGGAACAGACCAGTGTGGCATTTATAATCTATACAACTGAAAGGAGTTTTTAAAAAAGACACCCAGTTTTTGGGATTTGTAGCAGCAGTATAGTAGTCTATGAAGTCTAGAATCATGGGTTTAATCTGTCTTACTCTATAAATGGTTGTGGTGGTTTGAATGCTTAGCCCAGGGAATGGCACTTTTAGGAGGCCTTGTTGGAGGAAGTGTGTCACTGTGGGGGTGGGGCTTGCGGCTCTAATGCTCAGGTTCCACTCAGTATGGAATGAATCTCCTGGCTGCCTTTTGATCAAGATGCAGAATTCTTGGCTCCTCTAGCACCGTGTCTGCCTGGATACTCATGCTTCCCACCATGATGTTAGTAGACTGAACTTCTGAAACTATAAACCATCCCCAATTAAATATTTTATGTGTAAGAGTTGCTGTGGTCTCTTTCCAGCAATAAATCCCAAACCAAGACAATGGTCAAGCTCTAAAAACAGTACTTCATCCCTAAGATCTTGTCAAAATGTTAGTAGTTATTTTGGGACCAGATTTACAGGAATTTTTAACTTTCATTCACTCATTATAAATCTAATAAATATTTAAAATTTTTCATTACATTTTTCCCAGTTTTGATGTTTTCCTACTTAATTTTTGACATTTGTAATATATAAGGTATTACCAGTACTTGTACAATTTCATAAATTCTGTAGAATAATTTCAGGTAGCTTTTGATTTGTATAAAACTACCCTGATTTTATAGTTATAAAAATAATGTAGCTATTTCTATTTTGAAAACTGTTGGTCATGTAACTTTAAAAAAAAGATTCATCTTATTATTTATGTGTTTGTATATGTAGGTATGGAATGAGGTGACTTATGGGGGCTGGTAGATAGCATTAGACCTCCTGGAGCTGGAGTTACAGGGAGTTGTGAGCTACCTACCATGGTGTTGGAGCTGGGTCCTCATAACAGCTGAGCTGTCTCTCCATTCCCTGACCATGTACTTTGAATTGATTTATAGGTAATAAGTTTTAAATGTTTCATGTTTATTTGGCTATATAAGAAAGTATAAAAATAATTATATATCTGTATGTATAAACTTGAAGGGAATTTGACTTGTGTTAATCTAATTTTTAAATACAAGTTTTCCTTTCTGTTTCAAAATAGGTTGACAATCCATTAGAAGAAGCCATCAAGTTCCTCACTCCTCTAAAAACCCTTGCTGCTGATAACATTTACACCCACCTGCTGGCCTTTGAAATATATTTTAGAAAAGGTAACACATTGTTTTGAATTGAGGTTTGTATATGTCTGTTAATTGTTGTTTTGTTTTTCATGGTACAGGGGGTTGAACCCTCGGCCTCACATATGCTGGGCATGTGCTTTTTCACTGAGCTACACACTCCTAGCCTTGAGTTCAGCTTCTAACCTTTATAATGTTTACCTTATTAGATACTAATTTTGTGATTTAGATCCATTTTTGGTTTTTAGAGCTTTATTTCAACCTTCCACAAAGGTTCAATTCTCTTTCACTTTCCTGCTCAAAAGTTTGCTGGGCAACATATTAAAATATTACAATAAAATTTAGTGTGAGAATACTGTGAACAACCATACAGATTGTTTACATGTGCTGGCTGGTTCTGTGTCAACACAGACTCAAGTCATTTGGGAGGAGGGAGTCTCACATGAGAAAGTGCCCTTACCGGGGCCTATGGGCATTTTCTTGATTGATCTGGAAGAGTCCAGCTCACTGTGGCAGTGCTACCTACAGACTGGTGGTTCTTTGAGGTATAAGAAAGCAGGCGGAGCAAACCATGAGGAGCAACCCAGTAAGCGGAGTTCCTCCATGGCCTCTACCTCAATGTCAGCCTCAGGATTCCTGTCTTGATCTTCCTTTGACTTCCCTGGATGATGATGAACTTCCAGTTGTAAACCCTTTCCTCCCCAAGTTGCATTTGGTCATGCATTTTATCACATCACAGCCTAATTGTTTCCTGTATGTGAAACAGTTTTTAAAATTTTTTCTTCAGAAAGCAAAGAATTGTCTTGGATAATACAAATTAATTTTACATTTTTTTCATGTGTTTTTTAAAATTAAGTTCTTAAATTGAATTTAAGTGAAGATAACACAAATACTCATGCTACGTTTTTTGTTTTGTTTTTCTGGCACAGGGAAGTTTTTGCTAATGTTGCAGTCTGTTAAACGGGCCTTTGCCATTGACAGTAATGATCCTTGGTTACATGAATGCTTGATTAAATTTTCTAAATCTGGTAAGTAAAAAAAGGCGATACTATGTGCATCAACTAGGAAAAGCAAATATAAGCCATCTTCCGTTTAGCTGGACAGAGATGAGACTGCAGAGATCCAGCCAAACCGAACATTCGTCTGATACTCAAATGGTGGTATACCTGAATTAAACAGTGAGATATCTAATTAGTGTGTTTTTGACTAGACTATTAATGTTTGCATTAAGCTTAACGCCCTAAATATAGAAATATTTCAGTTGGTCCCCCCTCCAAGTACAGATGAAAAACAAATCCAGATGTTTTTGTCTTTGTAGTATCTAATCACAGTAATCTTCCCGACATTGTGAGTGAAGTTCTAACTCAAGAAATGAAGAAGATGTTTGTCAACAAAGATTTGCACAGCTTTAATGAGGATTTCCTCAAACACAATGCTACCTCTCTTCAGCATCTACTTGCAGGTTTGTATTTAGAAAAGTATTCAGTCTAACTAATTTCCAAAGGGGGGAAAAATAGCACAGGACCATTTGTAGGCTTTAATTGATCAGAGTGTTCTTGTTAAAAAGGAGAATAGAGTAAGCAGCACTCTTGGATATGATTCACACAGTCACTTAGGAAAGCAAGTTGTCTATCTTATTAAAAGTTACACATTAGGGGCTGGAGAAATGGCTCAGAAGTTAAGAGTACTGTTGCTCTTGCAGAGGACCCCAGTTTAGTTTTCAGAGCCCCACAACCATCCTTAACTCCAATTCCACCAGGGGGTCTAGTGATCTCTTCTGACTTATGTGTGCACCAAACACACACACAATACAAATAAAAATATTTTTTTAAAAAGTTGCTAGTAATTTTCACCTGTAATCTCTGGGACTCCAGATGCTGATGCGGGAGGATGGTAAGTTTGAGGCCAGCCTTAGTTATCTATACACACAGACCCTGCCTCAAACCAAATTATTCCAAGCAAAGAAAGCTTTCAATGAAACATATCTACTGAAATGTATATAAATTTTGGGGAAAGAGAATGAACTAAAATGTTATGTTCAGAGATACGGGAAAAAGTAGTAAATGGCAGAATGGAGTGCCAAGTAGTCATTCAAAGCAGTGTTTACTCAGACGATTCATAGTGACAGTGAGTAACAGCCTTTTGTTTTTGTTTTTTGTTTTGTTTTGAGATAAGGTCTCTTGTAGCCCAGGCTAGCTTTGAACCTAGTATGTAGCTGAGTTTGGGCTTAATCTTCCTGCTGTGATCTAAGTGCTAGGATTACTCCTACCTGGTTGTAACTAACTCTTAGAATACATATGCAGAGATTAGCAAACAATAAATCTCAACTGTATAAAAATCTGTCCGGGAAAAAGCCTGAAAGAAAGTTTGTACCAAAACTTTAACATTGACTTTGGATTATGAGTAAATTTTTTTTCTCAAATCTTTATTTATCTTATACTTTTGGGGTGTTTTTTCTTTCCTTTTTTTTTTTTTAATGGATTGTTTACTATTTCTGTTGGCTCCTTAAAGCCATAGATAACCTAGAACTTCATACTGCCTTTATATCCTGAGTACTGAGATTATAGCTGTGTGCCACTACATCCCAGTTTTATGCAGTGCTGGAGATTGGGCCCAGGCCTCATGCAAGTTAGGCAAGCATTCTACCAACTGGGCTACATTCCTAGCCTTGCTTTATGTGCTTTTTTGTCTTGAAAAGTTAGTTGTATCCTGTCTTGTTATGGAAAGGATTTTAGGCAGCTTACACAAGTACCTAAAATGTCAAAGGCAGCATTAATGAAAACTAGATGAAAGGTGATGGAAAAGAGGTTGAAGATAAATGAAGGACGTACCAAAAATAACTGCTCTACTTTATGCCATAGATAGATAGATAGATAGATAGATAGATAGATAGATAGATAGATAGATAGATTAGATAATTTTAATCTGAACTTTGTTACTAAAGCAAAAGTCTCCATTCTGACATATTTGGAAGAAATACTTACATTAATTAAAAATTACATTTCTAGGCAGAAAGAACAGAGAAGAATTTATCTTTAAGAACAGAGGACAGGCTGGAGAGATGCACGGCTCTTCAGAGCAGATGTGCATTGCTCCTCAGATGATGTAATGATTTTCAGCATTTCATCTGCAGCTCACAGCCACCTGGTAACTCCAGCTCCTGGGGGGAATTCAGCACCTTTGGCCTCTGTGGCTACCTGTACTCACACGCATAAACCCCTACACAGAGAAACATATCTTAAAAATAATAAAAAAAATTAAAGAATAGGTGAAAGTAATAATTTTTAGAAGACCAAGATAATAGAAAACATTTCTTTTTAATAATTGTGAGAAATTGTTTTTGAAATAGTAAGTGAAATTTTAAAGAAAAGGGAAATGTTTACCATATAAGAATAAACCATAAAGTCAAAGACCATTTTGTAACTGTAAGTTAATATTATATAGCATTCTCAACAAATTACTGCCAAATAATGTACATTAATAAGAATACAGTGGGACTGTGAACATAGACCTTATTTATAGGACATGCATGAACTGGGTTTTGTTTTATTTTAAATAACTTTTAAAAATTGCCTTTATGATTATGGAAAGATCTTTCTTTGAGTATATACTTTCATGACAATAACTTGTTCTGTAGATGCTTTACATTAAGGCACTATGCTGTTTAAAAGTGGTTCTGGCTAAAATGATTGATAGGATAGGATAGCCCTGTGCTTTTATATTTTGAATCACATTGTTTCTAAGCACAGAAATGGCCAAATTAGGCTTTTTTTTCAGTAAGTATTTTGTAACTGTGAAGGAAAAACTTTGATAATGTGTTTTGTTTTAAAATTTATTTTTATTTATTTACTTATTCATTTTTTAAAGATTGATTTATTTATTGTATGTATGTGAGTACATTGTAGTTCTCTTCAGACACACCAGAAGAGGGCACCAGATCTCATTACAGACGGTTGTGAGCCACCATGTGGTTGCTGGGAATTGAGCTCAGGACCTCTGGAAGAACAGTCAAGTGCTCTTAACCACTGAGCCATTTCTCCAGCCCCCAAAATTTATTTTTTAAATGTTATGTGTAATAAGTGTTTACCTGTATCTATGTTGATGTACATGTGTGCAGTGCCTGTGGAGGCCAGGAGAGGGGTCAGATTCCTTGGAACTCAAGATACAGATTGTGAGCTGTTCCTAGTTGCTAGGAACTGAACCTGAATCCTCTGTAAGAGAAACAAGTGCTCTTACCTTCTCTCCTGATAGTTTTGCCATGGTAATTCATAGTCTGTCTCAATGTAGCTGAAAGGTTCAGTGAGGTGTTTCTGAATAGAAAGACATTGGGAAGAAATGTCACAGTTGGCTGCCTAAAGCTGGTGTATGCCAGCTCTAGCCCACCATTGATTGATTAAACACTTTAAGCCACATCTGGGTGGTCAGTGTAAGTCAGACAAAATGTAAGCCTTAGGAGTTACTCATGTTATGTCTTGGAATTTCAGGTGCTAAAATGATGTATTTTCTGGACAAGTCAAAGCAAGAGAAAGCAATTGCTACAGCCACTAGGTTGGATGAAACTATAAAAAATAAAAATGTGAAGGTAAGATTCTTCACAGGTTGATTTACAGGTCTTGCAAAATCTAACAAAACATCTGTCTCTACAACATAGTTTTAAGTGGCTCGGAGAGCTCAGCCTGAGTGCAAATCTTTTTTTTTGTTTGTTTGTTTTTTGTTTTTGTTTTTCAAGACAGGGTTTCTCTGTGTAGCCCTGGCTGTCCTGAAACTCACTCTGTAGACCAGGCTGGCCTCAAACTCAGAAATCCGCCTGCCTCTGCCTCCCAAGTGCTGGGATTAAAGGCATGTGCCACCACTGCCCGGCTGTGAGTGCAAATCTTACCTCTATCCACTATTATTAACCTGTGTGACTTCAGGCAAGTTGTGAATGCAGAAGTGATACCTGTTGTGTAGTAGAGTTTGAGTTAACTGAAATAACAGAGCATGAAGTAGGTACCTCGTCCTAGCTCATTCATAGAGGCACTTCAGTGCCTGTTATACAGAACTTGGAGTTGGAATCCTATTTCACCCTCCTGAGTGCTGGGATCAGAGGGGCCTGTGCCACTGTGACCAGCTCAGAGTTAAGAGTTTAACATTCTTTATTTGAAATGCTTACTTACTGTAGATAGGAAGAAGCAACTGCAGTCTTTCTGTGGGATATGTTGTCTCTGTTGATTAAGATTATTAGCTGAACTACTTATCTTTTTACAATTGGTCTTTTCTCCTTGTGTCACTAGACTCTGATAAAGGTCTCTGAGGCACTGCTGGATGGCAGCTTTGGGAACTGTAGGTCCCAGTATGAAGAGTACAGGAAGACCTGCCATAACCTGCTTCCACTTACACCTGCTTTCCTGCCTGCTGTGAATGAAGCCCTCCGTCTCAGCACTCAGCTCAACCACACAGCGGACCACAAGCTCTTGATGAATGAAATTTGAATCTTGTGGGAAGTTGTTCCTACAGACTCAAAGCTGAATTCATATCAGGATTTCTTTTTCACTGTACATTTTAATACTGGTCTGAAATAAAATACTTGGATAGAAGTTTTTAATGGAATATTGTGTAAGCTTATGCTGCGTCTGGCCTCTAATTTACATAGACATCTGTTACAATTGCTTGTTTATACTTGTACCGTCTTACACTCCAGAATTATGAGTGTTGTTGCTTCTGTATTATATACTTCAGTTGTTGATTAAGGTATAGACAGCCCTCTTATGCTATTTTCTTTAGGTCCTAGTTTCAGAATCTGTTTTGACCTCTTGTTTATTTGATTATTTTGAAGGGTTAACTGAATGTTAAGAAATAGCCATATTTTCCATCTTGGTAGATAATGTGATTTGTTCCCTTTTTACCTTAACTTGTATGATTATTTCCTTTGTCAAAGCCATAAAAATGATACTTTATGGTCGAATAAGGATACACCAGTGTTATGTTGATATTCAGAATGTGAAGACTGGTTTGCCTCTTATTCATGTAAATCTCCCCCAACCCCACCCCCCAAGACAGGGTTTCTCTGTGTAGCCCTGGCTGTCCTGGAACTCACTCTGTAGACCAGGCTGGCCTCGAACTCAGAAATCTGCCTGCCTCTGCCTCCCAAGTGCTGGGATTAAAGGCGTGCGCCACCACTGCCCGGCTTATTCATGTAAATTTAACCATTTGTTGTGTAGCTGTTCTAGTCTCACAGACCATTGTGGAGGAATTTTCTTGATTGAGTTGCATAGAGACTTAGCAAGCAGGTTACCCTGAGAAGTTTTCTTCAAGGGAGGATGATTGGGCAGAGTACAAATTACAGCACAGCACTATCTCCTCCAAGACCATCAGTGAGCTTCTGATCTCTCAGATGAGAACTTAAACTATAATTAAACTCTGAAATCCTAGTGTTGTTGAACAGTGTTTTGGGGGGAGCCCTTTTTGCCATATCTAATACAATGGAATCATTCTATTTCTCAATATCAATATGTCTGTAAATCTGTCTGATATAAACCCAGAAAGAAGATTTTATTTAGATAATTCTAAGGTAGTTTTCCTTTAATTCTTTAGATTCATAGTTGTTGAAGAGGAAAAAAAATCACTGTAAAATAATGCCAACCTAGACAGTGCTACAATAAATTATTTCATAGAGTTGTTTGTTTATATCTATTATTATGTGTCCATACTAGAAAAACATTTTTTTGGAAAAGTAGAAACTTAATCATCTTAATCTTTTCAAGTTTATAGAAAATGTGACTGTCAATAACCAACTCCCAGATATGCTTTGGTGCCACAGTAAATAGGGTTCTTTGGTGTTTCAGAAGTATAGAAATAGGGCCAGGCATGGTGGCGCAGGTCTTTTATCCCAGCACTTGAAAGACAGGCAGGTGGAGCTCTGAATTGGAGGCCAGTCTGCTCTGTAGATGGAGTTCCAGTCTAGCCAGGGCTACATGGGGAGGCACTGATTTTAAATGGATATTTGTCACGGAATATTCTGGCAAATAAGTCATCTTACTTTCAGCAGGATGCCATTTTCAGAAAGATGCTAGTGACTACACTGGAAACTGCTTTCAACAGCAGCCTTTCAAAGGAATTGGTGTGGTGGTGTGCTACTGAAGAGACTGCTCAGTAGTCAAGAGTACACACAGACCCAAGTTCTGTTCCTCGTACCCACTCTGGGTGGTTTATAACTATCAAATGGCTCACCACCCAAGGATCTCACATCCTCTTCTGGCCTCTGTAAGCACTTGCACTCAAGCACAGAACTATACACATGGTTAATAAAATTATTTTTAAAAGTTGATTATGTTTTAAAGTATTTCCTTGGGGATAATTTAGTGTTTCTGAGAGTTCTGGGTATGTGCAGTTGAGATGCGAGTGGTCAATTGTAGGCCCGTGCTACTTCCTAAACTTCCCACCTCAGCCAGAGCTGATGTGCGGGTAGGATGCGAGAATGCTATAAGAGAGCTTCATGGACCATTCTGGTGCGGGTTTGGAAAGAAATGCATGACGGATACCCAGTTCATGACAGTTCAGAAGAGAATCAATGATGATCAGCAACAGGGCTGGAGGCCTGTGTTGTACTCTGGCAGAGTCTGGCAGTTTGCCTGTGGCCTGAAAATTTGGATGAGGCTGAAATCAAAGAATGGACTAAGTATAGCAGAGGAAAACTCAAGACAACATAATACTCGAGCTGAGGGATGGTTGTTCCTTGCTGCTTTTAGCTAAGTGTATAAAGAGAATTGATAGTTAAAAAGCAGAACAAAATTAGAATAACATGCAGTTTGATTGTAAGTATCAGGTAGTTGCAGTCATTAAAGCTTATCTGTATTGGAGGGACACTGCTTGCCTTGTATTGGGAAATATGAAATCTATCTCAATAAAGGGTCTAGTGGTTTGGATAAAAATGGCTCCCAAGGCCCATAGGAAATGACATGAGGTCGTTTCCTATGACCTAAGAGGTATGGCCTTTGTAGAGGAGGTGTGGCCTCGTTGGAGGAAGTGTTACTAGGGGATGATCTTTGAGGTCTCAGAAACTCAAGCCAGGCCTAGTGGCTCACTTCTCTCTTCCTGCTGCCTGTGGATCCAGATGTAGAACTCTGCACCTTCTCCATATCTGCCTGCATGCCACCATGCTTCCCACTGCTGACAATGGACTTCTGAAACTGTAAGCCAGCCCCAATATAAGAGTTGCTATGGTCATGGTGTCTATTCACAACAATAGAAACCCTGAGACTTCCATCATATGGCAATACAAGTGTATTTGAAAGACAGAAACAGCCGGGCTGTGGTGGCGCAAGCCTTTAATCCCAGCACTTGGGAGGCAGAGGCAGGTGGATTTCTGAGTTCAAGGCCAGCCTGGTCTACAGAGTGAGTTCCAGGACAGCCAGGGCTATAAAAAAAAAAAAAAAAAAAAAAGACAGAAACAGGTGCTGAAATAGGGCCCTGCTCGAAGGGCCATCTAGGGAAAAGTTTTCCGAGGCTCAGCTGTGTAGGAACTTGGATGCTGCAGGAGCTGTGGTCTGTGGGAACCAGCTACTTTGGAACTAGTGGCGTAGGTTGGCATTGTCTGTATATGGCACTGGTTTTGCCAGCACACATTGTGAGAGTTACGGGGTCACAGAGGCTTCACCAAAGTTTGAGAAAAGCTGGTGAAGACAGTGAGTAGCGGGGCTAAATTCCCTGCAGGGAACCCCCAAGCAGGCTAGCCCTGAGTTCCAAGTTGTAGGCTGATTCTTGGATGTTGAAGACTCCAGAAATACAGATGTTTGTTTGCTGAAAAAAACAAACAAAAAAACAACAACAACAACAAAAAACTATGGTCTTTCAGTGAAGCTACCCCCAAGGGAGTGGTCACATGTGCTGTGAGTGGTAGGTCTGGGTAAATAGTTCTTCAGAGCTCAGGTCATGCTACCATGTGACCCTGTTGTCACATAGAGCTGCAGGGTTTCATGTTTTCTCTGCTGGTGTTCAGTCTTGTTTTGGTTCACCATTCCCTTGCTGTGTCTCATTCTTTCCTCTTGGACTAGGATTGTTGACCAGGAATGAATTTATAGGGAGTCTACATAACTTGTTTTTCGAGTTTACAGAATTTCCAACTAAGAGAATGTTTTTGAATGTCGGAAGATATTTTAGATGTTTGAGCAGTACTGAGACCTTATTAGGACCGTGGAGACTTGAAGTTGGACTGAATATGTCTTAAATTATGGAATTTTTGTTTGAAATGAGAGTTGTGGATTGAGTGTTACGGTTTGGATCAGGCCCAGCTTGTGCTATTTTAAAAGCTGGGGAGCCTTTAGGAGTTGGCAGATGTTAAGCCATTAGGCCCTTTGAAGACAATACCCACCTCTGCTGCTTGTACACCGTCTTGTACGCCATCATGAACTCCTCCACCCATGTTCTCTGCTTCGATGGACTAAAGCCCGTGAAACCATGATCCACAGCAAACCTCTCCTCCCTTAAGTTGTTTTGGGGATGTACTTGGGTCACTATGATATAAAAGTAGCTAATAAGTCTTATTCATGAACCTGGGATTTTCCCTAAGCCTGCTAATGGCAAAGCTGAACTAGAAACCAGGGGTGTGGCATTCCTGCCTACATGTTTCATTCCTGGTGCTATTGCTCTGGCCCAGACCCTCACGGGTAGCCAGAGCAATTGCAGGTTAGCTGCTTTCTGATACTGCAGGTTCCAGTTCTCCCTGCCTGTGCCCTGCAGGATCACTTTTGACAATGCAACTCAGTGTCAAGCATTTGAGACTTTAATGGCTTGAGATTGTCAGATTGTTGGCCTGTTTCATCATTTTCCTTTCCTGGTCTTGTAGTTGTTCCAAACAGCACCCAGTGCCAAATAATTTGCTTAGCCTTGCTAAGCCTTGGTTATCCTCTCCTGTCAAATGGGGGTTATAATTTCTACCTCAGATTTTTTTTTGTGTGTGTGTACATGAATGTAGTAACTGACACATAACTGATGAATAGAGACAGACACACACACACACAGAGACAGAGACAAACAGAGAGACAGAGACAGAGGGGAGAAAGCAGGTACACATGTGTCACAGTGCTTGTGTAGAAGTCAGAGGACTTTTGGGTACTGATTCTCTGACCTTCTGCATTCCTTAGTTGCATGTAATTCTTTATGTAAGAGTATGTAGGGTTTTTTTTTCTTTAAAGGAAATTAATAATTATAAGGATTGAAAAAATTACAAAGTAGAGAGAGACAAATATGATTGTAAAACCTGTGGCAACCCAAGAAGAAAAGTTCCCAAGTCAATTCAGTTGAAGACTAAAGAGATTCTGATGTGACACTAATTACCATTGTTAGTAGCTTACTGGTTAAGACTCATGGTTTAACCAACTAGAAGACTTGAGATTCTTACATTGTATTAATTGCTTATAAGAAGCACAAGAGAAGCTAAAATTTGAAGTAAAAGAACAGAAATAGATAAAGCAGGCTAAGATGAACCAGAATGAAGTAATCCAAACCAAACTTATGCCAAGCATGACTAGTTTAAAAAGACAAGACGATGTGGCCACCCCTGACTTTCGTGTGCTTGCTGTTGCAAAGTATATCAAGTTATTCCAACCATAAGAAGTCAAAGACAGAAAATCCTACATGAACAAAACCCACATTTCTTATCGAGGGAAAAGATAACAATTAGCACCAAAGTTCTTTCTGTGACCTAAACAGAAAAGAGGGTGGATGAGATATAATACTGAAAGAACTGAGAAAAAGCAGTCTAAAATTTTGTACCCAGCAAAAGTATCCTTCAGATGTGGCGAGTTCAAGGTTCCACCAAACAAGTCTGACTTGGTCCTTAGTTGATCCATCTTGCTACAGCTGCTAAGCATTCTCAAGAGAGAAGTAAAACTGGGTTGGTTAGAAACAGATGTGCAGAGTGTTAGAGACAGAATTAACTAAGGCAAAACTGTTCCTTCTTATTTGATTTGTAGAGCTTATCAGAATACAACGGTAGGTTGGATGATTGTAATTTAGGGATTCATGGGATGAGCCATGGAAATGAGTGAAGGGTAGGAGGAGCGGTGAGCTCTGATCCAAGGCACCTGTGTGGCCTAGGATTTAAATGGTAAAGAGATGCTTTAAAGTGGACTATGACCAGTTGTAAAGCTATGTTGCAAACTCCAAGGCAACTACTATTCCTGAAGCTTCTATTCAAGAAAATAGAGGAGTAGCTGATAGACCAATGGAGGCTGCACAGTGAGAAATGCCACACTAGAGCCAGAGAAAGTGGAAAGGCTAGAGGTTAAAGGGCAGGGGGCAGGGGAGGGAACAGCAGGATGGATGGAAGGAAGAGAGGAAGGGAGGGAGGGAGGGAGAAAGAAAAGAGACAATAAATAAATCCAATACCATCAAAGAGGAAAAGCATATAAAAGACAACACTAAATACAGCTGTCTGACAATCCTTACTGTGCAGCTGGGGAGCTCTGGCCACATGTGGCTGACCACTGACCATTGAAATGTGACCTGTGAGCATGAGAAACTGGTTTTCAGTTTTTAATTTTAAATGCAAAGGTTTTTTGTTTGCTTGGTTTCTGTTTGAGACAGTGTGACTGTGTAGCCCTGGCTGCCATGGAACTCTCTGTGTAGACCAGGCTGGCCTTGCACTCACTAACATCCACCTGCCTCTGCCTCCAAGTGCTGACATGGAAGACCTGCACCATCAAGCCTGACATAAAGACCTTTTAATATTTATTCACTCTCTCTCTGTGTGTGTGTGTGTGTGTGTGTGTGTGTGTGTGTGTGTGTGTAGCTTGCAGGAGTCAGTTCTCTCCTTCTACTATGGGTCCTGGAGATAGAACTCATTATCAAACTTTTTTCCCAACTGAGCCTTTGCTGGCCCCTTGTCTAACTTAAATAGCCATTGGTGACTAGTGCTAATATTAGACAGTGGTGCCTGTCTAGCAGTTCTTCTCAAAAGGGGCTTCATTGCAGTTCCTCTGCCAAAAAGGACACCTTTTCAAATCTTGCAAGACAGCTGTGTGTTCTATAAGTTGTCTCCTTTCTTTCACTCTTGCTGCAGCGTGTTTATCTGTCTTGATGTGTGGCTCCCTAACCTGGTCTGTGAAGCCCTCACTGTGAATAGTATCTCCGAATGCTGGCGCTCACCTCGTACTTTGACTCATTTCCTTCTCCCTTCTCCCTTCACCATGGAAGAGGCATGATCGTCATCCTCATTAGACATGACTCAAAGGTAATAGTTTTCTTAGGGCCACATGACGTCTCAACTCCTTTTGCCTTTGAACTGCATTCTTGCCTGTCATTCTCAGTAACTGAGTAGTATCAGTC